ATCTGGATATTTTGGGAAAGGTAAATAATCGAAAATATGGAAATTTAAATCTGGATAATTAGGTAAGGTAAACTAATTCTTCTCTCCCTCGTTTCCTAACGTTTTTCTTTTCTTGTTAAATATACGTTGTCATTAAGTAAGATGATTTTTAGATCTAGAGAAATTTGGAGATTCAGGGAAGCTAATCTGATTCCTCCATGTTTTTTGGAATATGGCATTCTCGTTTGCAATTAAGGTAACGTCGAATGATTAAAATTGGAATGATAGTTATTTGCTTGGTTTATTTGTCAGATACTAATCATCTTGATTTAGGATGTTGTTCACTACAAAAAAACAAGGTTTTAGCGACAAATTTTGCGACAAAAAATTTGGCAAAATTCGTCACTAAACAAATTTGCGACAAATTTTGCGACGGAAAAAAATCCGTCGCGGCGGAGGAAGGAGGAAAAAGAAAAGATAAAAAAGAAAAATTAATCTTATGAATTCAAGTGTTGGGTTGAAAGCTCGGGCGAGGATCCGATTGATCTTGGAATTGCTCCGGACAACTTATTGAATGACAAAGTCAACAAAGATAAAGAACCCTTTCAACAGTCGGAGTGCTGCCGGACAGTTTATTGTTGGTAAGATTCAAAACATACAACCCTTCCCTGTCACATAAGGATGATGGTATTGTACCATTAATAGGTTATCATTGAGATACAAAATATTAAATTGGTACATAACACAAATATTTGTTGGAAGAGATCCTGAGATTAAGTCATGGGAGAGATCCAAAGCGAAACAATTAGAAGACAAGCCGGGCAAGGGTCCGGTAATTTGATTGGAGGATAGATCGAACAAGTAAAACGTCAAGTTCGCTAACCATTTTGGAAGGGCCCCAAAAAGGAAAGCATGTTAGAGTATGATATCTTCTGCTTCCACTTGTGTCCGAATCCACTGGGGAAATGGAGTTTCAAATTTACAAAATCCCATCCAAATGATTCCAAGTTGGAAAGGGGGTATCCATCTGGGTTTAGCCCTGAAAGTCAAGTTATTATTGTCACCTATATCCAAAACCTTGAGCCTTGACAAATTAGAAAAATGGATCTCTGAAATCACATCTCCCAAAGAATTGTTACAAAGATACAGGAGATCAGAAAGCTTTTGGAAACCTTTAGGTATAGTAATTGTCGAATGATTTACTCCCAAGAGGCAAGTATTGTAAAGCCCGCAATTTTCCCAAATGACTCGGGATCTTGAGAAACACTTAACAATAACAATGATGACAACGAACCTATTGATGATGGAATGGGTCCGTTCAATCGATTAGATGCAATATCCAGTGTTTCCAAGTTTGACAATGATCCAATGACACTAGGGATTTGACCGGAGAAGAAATTGTGGGAAAGCAGAACGTGTTTTAAGTTTGTGAAGTGCGCTAGTCAGTTGGGCAAAGCACCCTTAAGATAGATTATCACATATCTCTAGACTCTCTAGGTTATTCTCGATGAATCCCGATGAATTTCCCCGGCTCGTTGAAATCTCTTCTCCGATTTGGTTTTCACACAAACGCAATAACTTGAGATTTTGCTTGTTCTTTAAGAATGAGAATAAGCCTCCTTCAATGCTGTCGAAAAGATTTCCCTCAAGATAAAGATGGAAGAGTGCCGATCACTTGCATGAGGCCTCCTACATTTGCAATCTTTGAACCCTCATGCCGAGGTACTTTAGTGATCAAAGATAAGAAACCCATAGGATATCGTCCACAACCGAATTTCCATTGTAATTATGAAGATCGAGGACTTCCAAATTGGTTAGATTTCCCAATTGTCGGGGAATTGTTCCACAAAAGTCAGCAAATGACAGATTGAGGTACCGGGAAAAGTGTCAAAAAAGTCTTAAACTTATTGCATTTGTGCCAATTTAATCCTAAACATTTTTTTGTACCAATTTAGTCCTAAACATTTTGTCATTGTGCCGATTTAATCATTCCGGCTAATTTTGGCCGGATATTGCTGATGTGGATACCTGTCGGCTTATGTGGCACCACCAGCGCTAATGTTGACAACTTTTAATAATATTTTTCAATTTTTTAAATTATTTTTTTAATGGGGGTTGGCCTCCATTTAGATGTTCATGGACACAAGCAATATTCAGGCTGTGGACGGAGAAGCAAAAACTCATAGATGGAATTGGAATTGCAAGTTTCTAGTTTCTACAGAAACTAGAACTATCTTGACGATTCTATGGTCTAGTCGTTTGAAAAGTTACAAAATTTTCCGATTTGTTAGTAGATTTCTGATTTAGCTAATAGATTTTTAATGCCGTTGGTTGAAAGAGTATGACCAGCAACTCAAATATTGGGTAATCCATTAGAAAATTACCAACACTAGAAGAAAAATTTCTCAACTTTCAAATGAAATAGTAAAATTACCAACTCTTCTGGAATTTAACCTGTGTTGTAAGTAAATTACACACTAGAATAAATTACTATTTCAAATGAATGTCGGTAAATGTATTATAGTATTAGTATATTACAAAAAAAAATTGTGAAATTTCAAAGAAGTTGGTAACTTACTATTTTAGTGGAATGTTGACATCTATTTTTTGATTGCCCAATTAAATTGCACCAAATTTAGGAATTAAATTTTAAATTCCTAAAACAAAAAATATATTTTTAATTTTAATTACATTGCCTATAGACAAAGGTACATTTTGTATTATTAGGATGTGTTTTTCTTCTTTTAATTATTATTATTACTTTAAAAAAAAATGGGATCGGGCCGGGTCAGGACCGGCCCGACCTGGCCCTCTCCTTTCTTCCCTTCCTTACGCACGAGCTGGGCCCAGCCCAGCCCACTCCTTCTCTCCTTTCTTCTTCCCCCCGGCCCAGTCTCTCTCTCCCCCTTTCCTCTCTCCTTCACGGTGGACGCAAGATGGCCTAGTATCGGCCGCCGCCTGGACAAAGCCATTTTTGAGAAAAAAAGAGAAGGGAGAGCCGAGACGGAGATTAAGCGAGACAGAGAGTGAGAGAGTGATCCCCTGGCGATCACCGCGGTCGAAAACCTCCGCAAGTCCTCCCCTTCCCCCGCGCCAAGCCTCGGTAGGTCCCGTTTCGCTGGTTTCCATTTTTACTTGATTTGGGGGTCGGTTTTTCCCCTGTTTTGGGGACGCCGGGCCGGGTTTCGTGGTTGTCCGGCACACGGGAGCTCCGGCCCCCGTCCATCCTTCGTCTGGATGGTATGTGTGTCATTGTTCGTGTGTTGAGAGTCCCGGCTTGTGTTTGAGTCTCGGTTGAGCCGAAAGTCGTTTGTTTTTTAAGCGCCCACCACCTGTTCGACAAAACGCCTACGTGAGATCCAGTTTTAGGTCGTCCGTCTTGGCCGGCGTCGAGTCGCCCGCGCGTGTCGCATCCCTTTTTGGCGTACCTGTAGTGTTTAGAGTTCCGGGCGTCGGCCGCGTCCCAGCCGCCGCTGTTGTTTCGTTTGGAGTTTGGCCCGGGGGTGCCCCCGGCCGGCGGCGTCAAAGCCGGCCGCGGAACGGCGACCCAAGTGGAGGTCGGGCCTCGGTCTGGGCTGGTCGGGGCGACGCCCGAGCAGGGCGTCGCCAGGCCGAGACGAGCGGCGTCTCGGCCGTCTCCGTCGAGTCCCCGCGGAGCAGGGGACTGCAAGGGTAGTCGGGTCTGTGAGGGGGCAGAGTCGGGTCGGATCTGGGTTGGGCGAGGAGCCCGACCCGATGCCCATGTTTCTCTCTTTTGGGGCTGGGCTTTGTGTTTATTTAGTATTGAATAGGCGGTGGGCCGGGCCTTTTCTTTTTTTAGTTCCTTTTTTAACACTGCCGGACTGGGCTCATTTACCGAGCCCAGTCCCACATGGATCCGGGCCAGCGTGCCCGGGTCAGTCCCGATCCGGGTCGGATGTGGAGATCCGACCCGGGTCCGTTTATTATAATATAATATTATTTTATTTTATTATTAAAAAATATTTTTTAATTAAAAAATAAAAAAAAAAATCCGAAAATCAAAAAATGAAATTGGGCTTTGGAATTGCCTTTTCTTGCATGTTTTGTGTGATGAATGACATGCTTAATTGCACGTCGTCTGTTTAACACGTTTTGGATTGTGTGTTTAAATTGACCTTTCATATGGTTAATTAGAGGTATGTTGATGGTTGATTAGAGGTATGTTGGGCTGTTGTTTGCACACTTCCAATGCTTTGATTGTCGTTTCGTTAGCCTAGTTAGAGCTAGAACCCTAAGATCCACAATCAATAAAAAGACTGCATGAACACCGTTAAATGTTATTTAAACAAGGTTGGGTACGGAAACAGCACTAGTTAGACAAGTAGTGTAATTAAGTCTCCGAACTCATTTAAATTTATGGTTCATAGAAGTAGGGCGATTCTCCCGTTGCCTTACTTAGGTTTCTAATCGACAAATCCTAAATTGATTAGTGGCGACTCCTAGATAAAAAAATCACTCACAGATTAAAAACTTAAACCACAAGTCGTAATATGGTAGGTTTGAGCCCGAGTTAAGTTCCAGACCTAAACTTAGCGTGTACCAGGCTACGCTTTCCCTCTCCCAAGGAAAAATTTGGCGGGTCGCGATATGGAATATTGGTAAATTTATTATATTGTGGGTAAATCGCCGGCGATATTTATAGAATTTCAGAGGACATAGAAATTTAGTTCTTTGCCTGGTCATTCGTAAAATCCTTGTAAGCAAATTATTGGCCACAATTTTTTACCCAGAAGATTGGAAAATCACCAGCAACTTCAAAATTCTACCAAGACGGAAATTTTCGAGTTTTGAATCCGTCGGACCAGCACTAATTAACAGAGGATCTCTCACGGTGACCTTTTGCCCCATGAAATGCGAGAGCAGAAGCCGAGTGGAAATCATATTAGGCTGAAAAGAGAGCAGAAAGCATAGTGTACAGTAGAAAGAGTAGTGTTTTGCGAATTAGACCTCACAGCATGCTAATTACTTTACAGATATAAGCAAACTAATGGAAGGGAGGAGATCACACGAGCACTAGTTCTAAATACACCCAAAATGAAGAACCAAAGGCAGGGGAGAGAGCACGAGATTGCTCATTTCTTACGCGCTTCCTGACTGTCTCAGTCTCTTCAACTTGCCTGCCTTCACCACTATAGCCACATATGCCTTGTCTGCTGCTTGATCCGCAAACCTGAAATATGCAAGTCTCCAATCCTTCTTGAACTGCAAAACTCCGAAAAAGCCCCAGAACCCAGTTGCAAATCCAAGCATTACGACCGCACAGAACAACACCTTTCCAAGCTTGTCCTCTTCGTGTGTATCTTCAGGGTGAGCGATTTTCGGTGGTTGAGGCGCCTCGGAGCCAGGGCAATTTTTTCTTAGAAGATCACCACAGAGTAGAGGATTGCCGGCATAAATGGATGGATCGTCAAGCGTCTGGATTTGATTTCCTTTTGGAATCTGTCCCATCAAGTTGTTTTGCGATAGGTTGAGGTGGGCTAGGGATGTTAATGCTGAAATGCCTTGCGGAATTGTCCCCGTGAGGTTGTTGTTCGAAAGATCAAGAGACTCGAGTGACCTCATGTTCCCAATGCCAATGAGAATATCTCCAGAGAGATGGTTGTGTGACAAGTTTAAGCCATGCAATCCCGAGAGGAAAGAAAGTTCTTCGGGGATTGACCCGATCAAATCGTTGCTTGAAAGATCCAAATTTACCACAAGTTGCAGATCAATATTGGTGTATTCATTGTATCTTCCCTTTATTATCTCAACCACTTGCTCTTGATGCCAATTCGCATCAGAGTACCTGGTTGCTGGCGATGGAGATACAGATGGGGGGGAAGTTATATCTTGCATAGGAGCAGCGGCCACAGATCCAAATGAATTGACTTGATTGAAGTTGATCATGCTGTGCATATAGCCAAGACAACGTGGGATTGTTCCCGTCAAATTGTTCACTGCAATGTCTAATATCTGTAGTCCTGAGAGTGAGCAGAGCGGCAGAGGGATGCTGCCAGTAAACCTATTCTCTCGTAGCCTCAGGATCACCAAGAATTGAAAGCTTTTGCTGAGCCATGTGGGGATGCTTCCGGAGAAGTCATTCTCTCCAAGGTCTAAAATTACCAGATTTGTGCAATGACCTAAAGCCAGAGGAAGCTCCCCATTGAGACGGTTTCTGTTCAAGTGGAGGGTGGCAAGGTAGGGCAAGGATCCAATTGAGCTTGGAATCACTCCGGACAACTTATTGAATGACAAAGTCAAGTAAAACAAAGAACCCTTCCAACAGTCCGGAATACTGCCATATAGGTTATTATTGGCAAGATTTAAATCCATCAATTCCATGTCGCATAATGATGACGGTATTGTACCATTGATTCGGTTATCATTGAGAGACAGAATATTGAATCGGTACATAACACCAATATCTGTCGGAAGAGATCCAGTGATCAAATTGTGGGAGAGATCCAGAGTGGAACAGTTAGAAGATATGTTGGGCAAGTGTCCGGTAAATTGATTGTGAGATAGATCGAGTACGTCAAATGTCATGTTGGCTAACCAATTTGGCAGGGGCCCAAAAAGGGAAGCATTGGAGAGTACGATATATTCAGCTTCCACTTGTGTCTGAATCCATTGGGGAAATGGAGTTATGAATTTACAAGATCCCATCGAAATGAATTGAAGTTGGAAAGGGGGTATCCAGCTGGGTTTTGCCTTGAAAGTCAAGTTATTATTGTCACTAACATCCAAATACTGGAGCCTTGACATATTAGAAAAATGGTTTTCTGAAATCACACCTCCCAAAGAATTGTTGCGAAGATACAGATCCGAGAGATGAGAAAGCTTTCCGAAACTACTGGGTATAGTACCGGTCAAATGATTGCTGTCAAGGCACAACTCTTGTAAAGCCCGCAATTTCCCTAATGACTCGGGAATATGCCCTGCCAATTGATTATTAGAAAGAACTAACCATCTCAATGACGACAACCGACCTAATGATGATGGAATGGTCCCATTCAATCCATTATATGAAAGATCTAGTGTTACCAAGTTCGGCAATGACCCAATGACACTAGGGATTGAACCGGAGAAGGAATTGTAGGGAAGCATAATGTGTTTTAAGTTAGTAAAGTGCACTAACCAGTTGGGCAAAGCACCCTTAAGACGATTACCCTCTATCTCTAGACTCTCCAAGTTATTCTCATTGAGTCCCGATGAATTTCCTTGGGTTGTTGCAATCTCTTCTCCGATTTGGTTAAAAGACAAACGCAATGACTTGAGGTACCGGTGGTTCTTTAAGAATAAGAACAAGCCTCCTTCAATGCAGTCGAAAAGATTTCCCCTGAGATTGAGATGAACAAGGCTCGGAAACTTGTCAAACCACATTGGAATTGATGAGTTGAAAGAGTTCCCTGAAAGATCGAGATGTCGGAGAGAAGTCATGTTTTGAAATGTAATGTTAGGGATGGGACCTTCAAAAAGATTTATCGAAAGATCGAGGTACTGGAGATGAATAAGAGAAGTAGAATTGGCCAAGTGATCAGAAGACAGATGGTAATTATGTAATCCACAATCTGATAAGCTCAAATGCAATAAGGTTGGGAGCATGCTGATCACCTGCATGAGCACTCTTCCATTCGCAATCATTGAACCACTCATGTCGAGGTACTTTAGTGACCGAAGATAAGAAATCCACTGGATATCATCCACGACCAAATTTCATCTTCATTATGAAGATCAAGGACTTCCAACTTGGTGAGATTTCCCAACTGTCGAGGAACCATTCCACCGAAGTTAGCAAACGACAAATTGAGGTACCTCAATTGTTTCATCGAACCGAGGAATTCAGGAATTCTTTCTTGATTGGAATCGATCCCGCTTAAGTCCAAGTGATTCAAGTATCTCAAGTGCAGCAAAGAAGAGTTCAACTCACCAGCCAGGAAGAGCTTCAATTCCATGGGAAAATAAAAATCAGTATTGTCATTTCTTGGTTGGGGTAATTGGAGCTTGATGACATGGCCATATACACTATCACAAATCACTCCTTCCCATTTGCAGAAATCTTTGTCTTTCCACGAAGAAAGCAAGCCAGATGGATCTAAGAGGCTTTGTCGAAGCTGGAGTAGAGCCTCTCTTTCTTGCTCTCTGCAAGTGGACGTTGAATTGCTACTGAAGCACACACATGAATTATCTAAAATAAGGAATAGAGTTACTAGTGTGAGCACTTGGGAACAATATCTCCCCATGAGCAATGAGGGAGAGGATGAATTCATGTTTTAGAGTGGAGGGTTTAAGGGTCCTCTAATCAAACCCAGATCATTTATAGAGAAGGGCAGGGAGAGATTTCTCGTTTGATGTGACCAGTTGTGGTTACATACATGCACCTTATGTGTATGCATGTGTATCATGTATATGCAGCACATTTAAGGTCCACATATGATAGTCATCATCAGGGAGAAAAGGCACATCCACTCTTGCAGTTGGAGTTTGTAAATTGACGATCAGATCCCATCTAGAAGAGAAGTCCAAGTCAACTTGGAAGCAAGTGCAGCACCATTACGGAGATCGTGGACAACTCTGTCCAGTTTTTTGCAGTGCCAGTCCCGGATCAAGTCAGAGTCTTTTGGGTTCGTTTCATTATTATTCATATTAAGGTCGTTTCTCGGTGTACATTGCGGGTTCATAAAGATACCATCCGTTTCACGTTTTATCTTAACTAAATTTACTAATTTTGAAATAACGATGTTAACTCGTCTTGTTGCCCATAAAGATGATGGTAATGTACCATTCATCACGATATCACCGAGACACGATTGAAAGAGATAGAGAGATTAAGTTTGTCTGAGAGATCTAAATTGGAACCGTTCAAAGGTATATATTGAGTAAGGGCGTGGTAATTTGAATGTGAGACAAATCAAGCCACAAAATTCACATGTTGGCTAACCCATGTAGGCAAAGCCCCCAAAATGGAGGCATTGCAGAGAGAGATGCCATGGTCCTCCGCTTGTGTCTGCATCCATTGTGAAAATGTCGATCCAACTTTTACACAACCCATCCGAATAATTCTAAATTGGACAGTGGACCAGTTGGGATTTGCCCTAAAAGTCGGGTAATTATCGCTAATATCCAAACGCTGCAGGCTAGACCTAGGTTATCTGAAGTGTGGATCGCTTGAGTAGGGGGAATAAAATATGGGAACGCGGAGCGTCATTTGTATCAAGCGATAGGGGTAGACTTCTTTTAATCATGTAATTAAGATAAGACATGATTTTTTAGTTATAATAAAGATAATGTGAGCAGTATAATGTGTTTCAAACGTATTTGAGCCACTGAATTTCATGTTCAAACAAAAAATACTATTTTCAATAATGTTTTCAACTAAAAAAACATTAACATGAAAAATATATTTCGGATAAGTGATAAATATCAGTGTATTGGGACGTTTGAAATGCTCATTTTAGTATATGGGTTTGTTCTCCTCGGTCAGAAAATTAAGGGCCAAAATCCTGGAGGGACTTTGCTGTGCATATGCATTCTATTATTATAAAATGTAACTACCACCGTTTGAGTGTCAATTATAGTTAAGGAAAATACTGACTATTCGCAAATAACACCAGGTCAAGTGAACCTTCTCTCCATCTATGTCGTTAAATCAAGCAACTTCCGGGATAATACCTGTTGATGTCATGAGCGGTTCTGAAAATATTCTCGTCATGTCCTAATGAAAAAGAAAAGAGGCCACCGATAATACAGTTTATCGAGTCAATTGTGTAGTGTTACTTTCTCCGGAAAAAAAAGAAGAAAGGAATGTAATGTCTGTGGTAGGATTATTTACTGTACATTTATAGAAGGAAAAAGCTGATCATTTAACCTTAATTACATCCATTTCATTCAACTGGTATTGTCACTGGCTTTCCGCATTCTAGTTGAGAACTCGAAATTCACAAGAAGAAATATCAAGCACTTCCAACCAACTACTTCTTATGAATTCCCAAGCTTCTAGCATACTGCAAGGGCTTCAATAGTTTTTCATCAAGAACAAAAGATTGACCAGAACCGTTTCATTTAACGATGGACCTGAGCATTTGTGGGATCATAGCTCAAGTGACTTCAGGCGGAGCTTGTCTGCTTAGGAGGTGGCTTGGGCATTGGTGCATTAGACAGGAAGCTCTTGAGCATAGTATGCGCCTGGGAGGGGCGACACATTGGCACTTCATGTCCCGAGCCCATTACGGCAACAAACGCTAAGCCTTCATATATCTCGACCCAATCTGCAAGCTGGGAAACCAAAGAGTGTAGTTTTAGTCATTGTGAATGAATTTGTGGAAGCTTTTCTTTAACTTGATTTGAATTGCGTTTACCAGATCGTGATAGTACCAGGGGTACCATTTCTCCTGTACTTTCAGTTTTAGTGCTGCAATGTTACATCGAGTTGTTGGCAAAGGAACGGCTGCATCTGTTGTTCCGCTACTCAAGAAAAAGGCAATAATCCATGTGAATCGACACTCAACGCCACTAACAACGGTAAGAGAAGACACCGTTGTGATGAATTAGAAGAAATGTTGGTTTCGCCATATGTATGAATGTTTGTGCACTAATCCTACCAAATTATTTTATCATAGGTAAATCTCAAGTCTATCCAGCATGTTATATGATAGATTCTATATGCCGCACACTTAAGGTCCACTATCATAATTATGGTAAGGAAGAAAAGGCACATCCACTCTTGGAATTGAAGTCTTTAAATTGATGACTGGACCCCATCCAGAAGAGAAGTCCAAGTCAACTTGGAAGGAAGTCTTTTGATTCCTTGTCATTATTCATAATAGTTGTTTTTTTTTTTTGTATAAATGCGTGTTTATAAGACACCGTCCATTTTAAGTTAAGATCTTAATCAAATTAACAATTTCGAAATAATGATCTTGACTAGTTATGTTGCCCATGCTATGCACAGAATTTTGTTGGCTATTGCTTAAAAAGCAAAACAATGAAAACAAACGGAGAAGCCATATCGTAATCACTTTCACAACATCACGAATGTAATTTGATTCTTTATTTCCGAACCCTTTTCCAGTAAAATCTATCTTTAACTTGAGTTTGCTTTGACCATTAATTTTCAAGATAACTAATTATTTGCTCCATAGGAAATATAAGCGATTAGTCTGTTAAAGAAACTTTCTTTTTGTTGGCTTTTCTTTCAATAGAAAGTTATACAACCCCTAAAACACCCTAGGGAAAAACCTAAGGGTCGCCCTCTTCCATTCTGCTTCTGAATTTCTGGCTTGAATCTCTGGAACTCACCTGCAGCTCCACTGGGCACCAACAGCAGCTCCCCGGACTTCCAAAAAGAAAAGGCGCACTTCCCGGGTTTAGGGCCGGGGGTCTGAAAGTGGCGGTTATACAACCGTGAGACGAATCTCAATAAGTGTACAACCCCAAAGCCCACGTAGGCACTCACATACCGCCAGACGAAAACACACATAACACACAACGATCGGCCAAACTAACAATCACATGCGACCCTACCTGGAATCCATCACGCACGTTCCTGCACGTTAGACAATAACACAGCCAACACATCACAGCAAGGAATCACAGACGCGCGCGTGCCTCAATTATAAGACAAAAACCACTTGGGCACATCCCATACCGTGCCTAACAGTTTCTACCCCATAATTAAGCATCACATCGCGCGATACAAACACACTCGCACGCTACTCACACCATGCGTCACTTTCCACAATCCTCTCGATTGTCTTGCCAAATCCCACTCATTTTCAACCTTTCCACCACTACCGCGCCCGCGTAAAACGCATCAGGCCAACGGTCTTCTGACCTCGTCAGGCATCGTCACCCCGTCGGGCCGGGCATCGTCACCTCGTCAGGGACGGCATCGTCCCGCGTAAACGTACACGCCTCAGAACGGAATCCTACACACACTTTCCTTCTACCGCGCCCACGTAAAACGCATCAGGCCAATGGTCTTCTGACCACGTCAGGCATCGACACCCCGTCGGGCCGGGCATCGTCACCTCGTCAGGGACGGCATCGTCCCGCGTAAACGTACACGCCTCAGGACGGACCTTTCCAACCAATCCTACATTTCCGTACCCTCGTTCCACTCAAACCACACTTGCCACGCCACCACACAAACACACTGCCAAACATACACACTTCACACACATTTCACATTTACACAACCTCGTCACACAAACACCGCACGAACACCCAATCACACATTGTTGGCACGCGAATACAATACGTGAATGCACTACCACACCACCACACTTCACAGCCACACACACGCAACACATGGTCAGCCCACAATCAGCCTAAGCACAATCCCAAATCAGCCACAACCACACAGTCATATCACAACACACACGATCAACACACAAACTGGCATTTCTCCACACCCAAACGTTA